GATGGACCGCTAACGCTTCTGCAACCAAAATTGCTATCACTATGAAATGCATATAAACATGTCCAATTAATAATGCAGGTATACCACGTTTTTAAGTATTGCCATAATAGTAAGATATTAGAGCCATTTTAAACCGCTTGAAATTCGTCATCTCAAATTTGATATCCGTACCTTGTGATAAGGGTTGTCAGCTCACTTATATTCACAAGCTTGCTGGAGATGTTTCTATAGATGCGAGTAATTAATCGATTGCTTATAAGGAATGGTTCTTTCGATTCTGTGCACTCGACAAATAATTAATTCTAATCATGTTTGTATGCAACGTTGGATAATCATTAATACTCAATTGATAAATTACACGTTATTTCGTATCTTCGCTTCTTTTACTTTAAGCCTTTCCAAAGACCTCCATCGAGCTGTTGTCAAACTCACAGGTTGAACGCATTGTGTTTAGTTTTAACATTTTATTGAATCGCATGGGCCAATTTATAAGTTGGGTCTGCTGAACGCGATTGATTACGCGACTAATATGTCTTTTGGGATCCGGAAGTCCATGAATCAACATAATTTCATGTGAATTTACCGTGAATTTTGCTCTGGACAATAAAAAATTTATTAGAATGGTTTACGCTTAAGATTGCTGAGGCCTCTGGTAAGCATCTTATACATTTTCTATTTCATTCGAACAAACGTTAAAACGTTGTTTATTGGATGCAGTTTTACTGTCCCTTGTGGCCACGACGTAGATTATCATGCTCACCAATTCTTGCCGAATTGTCTAAAGATTCAAAAGCTATGTCGAAAATCGCGAATTTGGTTGTGGCTATGGTATAGTAATAGGATTTGGAGGAGGAAAGACAACATGAAATAAAGGATTTGGAGGAGGAAAGACGAATCGAAATGAAGATTTTAATAAAGGATTTAATGCGTGAAACGATCAACGTAATTGAAAAAAAAAAGAACGAGAAACGAAGGAGATACTCGGATTTAAGGAACCATATTACGCATTTTGAGTTTGATGTCAAAACGCGCACCGAATCTCTTTTACGATCAAAAAGGATGTGTAATGTGAGAGGTGCTTTAGAGTTCATCAGATCAAAGGTAGCGTTCTGCATATTTGCTTATGTATTTTGCAATGCTTTTTATTATATTTTGTTTATATATTTTTTTCTCTCGATAGATTTCGGTCACAGCACAAGACTATCTCGTTTCGCGACCCTAAAGACAATATTTTGATGGAGATACAAAGTTTGTATCAATTTTACAGCAAACATGCACACTTAATGATTTTCAATACAAGGATGTCGAAAGATGTATGGGTGGTCTCGATCACACTGCAGGGTACGGAAGGTATTCTTGGTGTGCTGGCACATGTTAAAGATGATGGTGGCACATGGAAGGAACTCACGGACAATGTGAATACTATGGCGTCGAACCTTACTGTTCAAGTACGTGACATTGCTAGTGTATCAAAGGCCGTAGCATGCGGAGATTTAAGCAAGAAGATTACAGTAGACGTTA